GTTTGGCTTGAGGGTCTATTGAGGTGCTGTCCTCTTTGACCCTATCGAGTTGGGTTGTTTTCCTGGGCTATTGATATCCCCTTCATCTCMAGGACATCATTGCTTGGCACAACAGCKTACCAGGAGCATTCTATACTATTTTGCAGATTGGTCAAGCTGGCTTCTCAACGTGAGACAACCCCTACATGGGGTAAGCTGGTTGAGAAGTTCTGCTATCGAMACATTGRGCATCARAGTTTCSTCATYAGRGCCAATGAGTCTCCCACATCGAGATATATATTGGTAATCACTTATCATGTGAGAAAAGYCGGACAGGGAATAAAGGGAACCMCCTACGACCGGATTGCTGACTATATCTTTCGCAGGGAGAGTTATTRGAGAGAGYACTRGTTACACGTGGTGTTTCCCCAGATCCCCTTTGCACCAGGTGGTGCTCTTTATGACTTTGACGGCTGCAACCSTAGACCRCKRAGCAGAGGTGGCAGSAAGGAAAARAGGCGTCAAGACAGGAGGATCAGGAGCGAGGTGKCCAGATSCGGGATACCTATTACCACCATTCTACAGAGGTCAGAGACRGATGAGTCAGACCAGGAGCCTTGCTGYGTGAGCGATGTTGACCTGGGGGACTATTTTGACTGGGATACTCACAKGGACTRAGTAMGCTTGAGTTTGGAGCAGGCCYWKAGCACCTTATGACATTGGTCGYCGGAGTGAGACGCAGGYGGGAAGCAGCCCTAYGACGGGTTGCTTATCTTCTGGCACGATATTTGCTTGAGGGTGATTGACTTGGACATTACATGTGAGGAGGACCCAGGTCAGAGGAGGTAATCGGCCCTTCGAGGGGGAAGGGACCAGTCCCATATCTTGGGGATGGCTATAACCATTTGGTGGAAGCAGATTTCGTCATACAGGCTTTTCGGAAGCCTCTCTATGGAGACCGTTTTCTGGAGGTTTCATACGACTACATCTACGGCAAGGGGCGGATCGAGATCTTGATCGGTGCCACTGGCAGCATTTCCCTTGCTGAGGAGTTGTACCTTCGGAGCGTTGCGAACGAGGAGATGGCCAGATGTATGGCATACATCAACAAGATTGATCCTACGGCATCTTTCGACATCATCTATGTGGTCCCAGAGTCTATCGCCACTCAGGTTCTCAATGATGAGGAGGACCAGTGTGTACCAGATATGGAGTCCCAGGCAGTCGAGCTCACTCATGAGGGGATACCRCTCGTTGTCATTRACYGAGGCTCATWTCTTYTAGTCACTGAGATGTACTATGACATTATTATTATCTATCASTGACTGCAGCCCCTTCTTTATGGYTGCTTCCTCCATTCTCTGTGTACTACTCTTCAGTCTCGTGTCTCTGGTCATGCTCTTGTAGAGTCTGGTTTCTGGTCTTTTCGTCTTCTCAGTGTCTTTTGACTTATGATGCATGACCTGTAATGCATGNCTCGTGTCTCTGGTCATGCTCTTGTAGAGTCTGGTTTCTGGTCTTTTCGTCTTCTCAGTGTCTTTTGACTTATGATGCATGACCTGTAATGCATGAAATGTTTATGCATGAGATAACAAGTTATTTATCACTCCTTATCATAACATGTTACACTCAAGGCTACTTGAAGGACTCCTGGATAATAGGGACTCTGGTGACCTTGAGTCTAACCTTTACACGGGGTCAGGTGCAGGCGATAAAACCGAACGCCTCACTCTAAGCTGTGTCGCCGCTGGCAGGAGGGATAATCCTAACTACTCGACTGTGTGACAAAGGCTACTCGTGAATGTATTTCTAATTTTTCCACAACTCTCCAAAATCCTGCGTGACAGCCTGCCAATCCACCAACCCAACGCACTCGGTCGGGGGGGAAGACATTGAACCAGGCCCTGAAACGGTGGGGGCGCGACAAAAATGGCGCCGTTGCCGGGGATTCAAAAACTTTGAGTTCCTGGGAGCGGACCTTGGTCACAATATTTAGTGACTAGGCAGCAGTCTTGTATTTCGTTCAAGGTTTGGCTCAGGTCAGAAAGACTTTTCGGCTCGAGGAGCCCCGAGAGGAGGGGCCTCTTGAAGAAGTCTATCTGAAGTGACTCAGACCTGCAAGCAAGGGTTTGGAATTTGTTTTCTAGACCCTTCGCTTGACAATTCTATAAGTCAGAAACCAGACAATGACTGAAGAGTATAATGTCCTAGAAGCCCTAACTCGTGTCACCTGCGGTGGTGTCTTCCCTTATATGTTTATCAAATGCATTACTTGTGTGAAAAGTTCAACGACTGTGCATGTGCTTGTCTCTAGATTCCTTGACACTGATGATTATGATATTCGACTCTACATCCTAGAAGGGACTGATCGGGATTCGAGTTTCCTTATCAACTGGGATGTTATTGTGAGGTGTGTCGAAGTAGAGAGGGATCAATTGAGACAATAAGGGATAGAGGGGAGTTGGAGCTTATTGCCCAAAGTCTATGAGAAGATTTCTACCCCGCCAGTACCTAAAGGATTCTGTGATGGTAGGAAATGGCAGCCAATCATCAATGGAGCGCTGAGAAGGCAGAGTTGGTAGGCAGCCCATGTCGGCAGTAACTAGAGTGATAGAGGCACTGACCAGGATCAATGCTGGCGGTGTTTTCCCATACATCATTGAGACGTGTGTGACTTGTGAGCATGACTCAGTGATTCTATACGTCCTTGTAGTCCGATTCCTTGATACAAATGAGTATGATATAAGGCCATACGTATCTGCTGGAACAAGGAGAGAGATTGACTATGAGGCATGTTGGGTAGTTGCTGCTGAGTATATCCTAGATGAAAGGTTGTTGTTGAAACAATAAGGAAAGAAAGTGACGTTAAGTGTCCTACCTAGAGAGTTCGAGAGGTTCCCAAGCCCTCCTGTGCCTGCTAGCTTCTGCAACGGGAAGGACTGGGGACCAATCCTCAACGCAGTGTTAAGGGATCGAGTGTGGTGAGCTATGCTGATCGATGTCTACACTCCTGATGATGGAGAGAGCTTCTGTTTTGAGGTCTATCTAGACGAACAGCAAGCGACTGTCATCGGGGCTGTGAGAGGATGCATACCAGGCTAGGTAGGCACGACGAGATTGGCATGGTAGAGCACTACCTTGAGCTTATGTGAGCGGCTGCTTTTAGAGCAATTACGAGTCAGGCTAAGATTAGGCATCTGTTGGATTGCAAGAGTTCGGATGGCAGGAGAGTGATGCTACATGCGAGAGATGAGACCATCCTATCTAGACAACGTCCTGCAGATAGTCTGGCTAGAGGCGCTAGAGGCAACCCAAGGCAATGATACTGGAATGTGAAAACCCTGTGTCAATTGCGACTGTGACCATTGGCAGAGGATGGTTAGGTAAAGTAACTGAGACTGACAGTCCGTTCGAGATATTGAGACACGATGTCTGTAAGGAAGGATCATGGGGGTCGCTAGGGACTAGGCAATGTCTGGATACTGCCCAAGGATCACGGCGGCACTAGACGCCTTAGTTCCTTTTACCAGTGGAGGAGTTTTTCCCTACAAGATAGAGCGTTGCATATCCTTGGAGGAGAAGCATGCACCTGGGAAGGCGTATGTCCTTGTAGTCAAGTTCCTTGACACTGGTGAATACGATCTTCGTCCCTACGTTCCCTCATTGAGAGAGAAAGGGACAGATCGTGAGTCTCTTTGAAGTTGGATTAGTAATATAGTTAACCAAAAGAAGAGGGAATTAGAAAGAAAAGGGATAAGAGTAGTTAGTGACTTAACACCGATTGTGTTTGATAGGTTTCCTGAGCCCCATCTGCCAGAAAGTTTTACTGACAGCAGGAACTGGGAACCAATTTTAAACGCAATCCTAAGAGAGAAAAGGCTCAGGAAGAAGTAGGAGTATAATCAGTAAACTAGACAGGATGGTCAAAGGATCGAACGCACGGCAGAGCCGTGTTAGTTTCTCTGCAGGGGATGGAGAAGTGACCACTACTGTGGTTCTTCGAGAGATGTTGAACCGGATAGAGGCCATGAAGACCGGGATGGACACTATGAATGTTCGTCTAGACCTTCCAAGAGCTAAGGTACCTCCAGAGAACATACCCAGCTTTGATGGAACCAAGGTTAGGGAATTCCTGGAAGACTATGATGTTTTCGGTATGAGCCACGGTTGGTCGGACAAGCAGAAGTTGAAAGCTCTGCTGGCCTATATTGAGCCAAAGATGAGAGTGTCGGTGACAAAGACGACACAAGGACTGACAACATGGGTTGAGGTTAGACAAAAGATGCTGGAAGAATACGCGAAGTATGACGTCCCAACAACCATGCAAAATTTGTTGGACGTACGACGCTCCAAGTACGCTACCCTCGATCAATTCCTAGAGGATTTTGAGAGGGTTGCGCGGAGAGTACCCTTCCTAGGCGAGGCACAAAAATGTCATGTCCTACTGACTAACTTCGCAGAGGATGAAAGGAAGAGTGTGGTAAGTCGTGCTGCCCATTATCCTCTAAAGTGGGATGAAGTAGTTGAGATGGTCCGTGAGCTACCTTCCGTGTCCAACCGAAAATGGTCCTTGGAACAGATGAAAGCAATCACCAGTGCAAGAGAAGGGAATGTTGAGGCAGCTACGGGAGGAAACTTCAAGGCCGAGGAGATCCTTGGTCTTCTCGTTAAGCTTGGTAGCTTCGAGAAGTTAACCCTTCCTGCCCCAGCAACTCAAGCACTTGTTGGAGCCGAAGAAGGTAAGGAAGAAAGAAAGAAGGAGAGGCAAAAGGAAGAGAGTGAGAGTGAGAGCGAGAGTAGTGATGAGGAAGATGCTAGGCGGAAAAGAAAAGAGAGACAAAAGAAGAAGCGCGACTGGGATTGGAAGAAAGATAATAAGAGCCGAGATTGGCAAAGGAGAGATGACCCCTTCCGATGTTATTATTATGACGAGGAAGGCTATACTATAACTCGGTGCCCTATACTAGAGAAGAAACTCGAAGAAGGGATTGTCAAGAAGAATGTCAATGGGCACGTCTGTGATGCCAATTGGAACAAGATAGATTTCCGAGTCAAAGGAGGGATGCGAGCAGTTATCCTAGAACAGGCTAGAGCCAATAAGGATAAAAAAAAGAAGGCTAGAGTTAACGTTATCACCTTTGATGGTATGCTACCTCCGGTGATAGTGGCTCGAGACGACAATCCTGGAAGTCAAAGTCTGAATGTATCTTATATCAGCCAAAAGGAGGTCGAAGAGAAAAAACGAGAAAAGGCTCAAAGAGAGTTAGACCAGCTGATTGATGGGACCAAGGACCTAGTGAAGGAAGGAAAAGGGAAGGAAGCTATTGGGAAGAAAAGAAGGGTGGTCTTGAGATCCGAGGCCGAGGAAGGGATCTCAATAGATGAAGTAGTAAAGAAATTACTCGAGGAGACCGAGATCACCCTATCCTAGAAAGAAGCAGTAGCCTTGGTACCCAAGTTTAGGGAAGAACTTAAGAAGATGGTTGAAAGGCTGAAGGTGGAAATTAATAGTCTAAGGCTCTTCCCTTAGCATGTGGAAAGGGCCCCGCCTGGTACCAAGATGAGGTTTGGCAACATATCGGGCGGATATTTGAATATCTCCGTAAACGATGTGAAAGTCAGAGCTCTAGTGGACTCTGGGGCCGAGATGGTGCTCATGTCATCAGCCACAATGAGATCATGTGGGCTCGGGAGTTCTTTGGCCATGATGGGGCGGCCTGACTCGCTCTCCAGGATCCTAAAAATGGTCAAGAACAGGCTTTTGTGATAAGTGACAAGCATCATCCTCGTCATCAATGACATGTTAATTCTCTAAAGCATGGAGAATCTGACAAGTTGATTGAGGAGGTAAGAGCAAAGCTAAAAGAAAGTGGAATAATAGACGAGAAGACGACGATTAGAGTGAATGATATTGGGAAGATGCTCAAGCTCCTGGATAAAGAAAAGGAGTTGGGCGACACGAGAGAGATGGAAGGATTCAAAGATGCTGTGAGGGCAGCAAAAGCTGACACGATGCAGCTCACCTTCTCTGCAACTGGTTCTTTTTTAGGAAAATAGCCATCGGGTCCAAGAGGAAGTATAAGCGCAAGGGCGTTAAGAAGAATCTGGTGGCAGTCTTGATAGAAAAGGACTATAATGAAGCATTAGAGAAGGAAAGGAAGATAATTAAAGGGTTAAGAGAGGCTGCATTAAAAGGAGGAAGGATTACCCCAGAGAGGTTCAAGATAATGAAGGTAGGAGTCAATGACTTCCTCCCGCCGGCTGAGAGGGATTTCATATGTGAATTATGTCAGAAGTACAGTGGTGCCTTTTCCTTTAATGATGAGGAGAGCGGACGACTGGACGTTGACATGATCAAGATGGTCAAGATCTGGACCGTTTCTCACATGCCTTGGAATGATAGACCCACAAAGTATGCTCAAAAGGAAGAAAAGGAGGTAATGAAGTACATAAACCAAAAGATCGCCTCCAACGTTGCAGAACTAGCGGATGGTGCTTATGCCAATCACTGGTTTTATTTCTGGAACCCAGGAGGAGGTATGCGCTAGATACAAAACCTGCAGAAGTTGAATTCGGTAACTGTTCGCAATGTGGGTAGCCTACCGAACGCGGATTTGTTGGCCGAGTCTTTCGCTGGAAGGAGCATTTACTCCCTAGTGGACTTATACTCGGGCTATGACCAGTTCCCCATAGATCCTACTAGTCGACCTATGACCACCATGCACACGCCTAGAGGCCTCATACAAATGTGTGTGGTCCCTCAAGGGTGGATGAATGGAGTCGCGGTTGTCCAACGAGATATGTTGAAGGTCATGGAGGACATATGCCCAGAGGTCACGTTCCCATATATCGATGACAATCCGGTTAAAGAACCGAAGGAAAAGGATGAGACCTTAGTGGATGGTCGAGTTAGGCGGTTTGTGTGGGAACTTGCTCAGGGAGTGGCGAAAGTACTAGAAATGTTGTTTAAGTACAATCTAACAGCTAGTGGACTGAAATCACTACTGTTCCAAAGAGAGGTAACGATCTTGGGTTTCAGGTGCTTCCTGGAAGGGAGAAGCCCCGATCCTAAGAAGGTGGATAAAATCCTGAACTGGCCTATGCCTCTAAGGATGGTTGGGGAAGTAAGGAGCTTCCTAGGGGTCTGCAGCTTCTGGCGGATCTTCATTCCCGGATTTGCCAGGATAGTCGAACCCCTTAGAGAAATGGTGCGACAAGGAGCTAGCTTAGAGTGGTTTGACCAAAGAGAGAAGGTTGCGCGGATGCTTCAAGATAAGTTAAGAGATGGCGGAGTCGTACTAGGAGTAACCTACTTCGACGATGAAAGGGAGAGACCCTTCATCATTGAAGCCGACGGCGGCCCGATAGCATTAAGAGGAGTGCTTGTGCAGCGAGACGATAATGGTAAAGAAAGACCACATAGATTTGAGAGTCGCACTCTTAATTCGGTTGAGAGAGGCTATATTCAGTTCAGGAAGGAGCTTCTGGCAATCCTGCACTGTCTCAGAGTGTTCAGACACTACATTATGGAACGAAGATTCATCTTAAGGACGGATTCCACGACAGTAATTGGGGCTGTTAAGAGACATCAGCAAGTAGATGCGACGATCAGTAGGTGGATAGCTCATATATGGACATATGATTTTATATTAGAAAAGGTACCTACTGATAAAAATCGAGCTGATGGGTTAAGCCGCGTGGAATGGGGATCGATAGATAATGAATCTCTTGAAGAGGCGCCTTTCGTTGATGAATTCCTTATGGGGGACAATGATGCTCCCAATTGTTATACGGCCTCAGCCATGGCCACCAGTAGAGAAGATTGTTGGGGTGAAAAGGAAGATCCCTACCTCCACTACCTTTTGATTCAAGAGGATGAGGAAGAAGGGTGGTATGGGATGGTAGAACATGCCGCTGTTGCAGCTCATGAGCTGGCTGAGAGTTCAACAATGGCTGAGCGTCGATTGAATGAGATAGACGATGGGTCAGAAGATCTAGAGCAGAGTAAGGATGATGAAGGAAGGTTTAGAAAGGAAGAATATGATGGAGAATATAAGAGGATCGGTATGGTGATGAGTAGTAATCACTTGAACGAGTTCTACCATGAGAGAACAAAGAGGACCTTTAGGCTACGTAGGGGTCACCTCTTTGTAGATGCTAAGGAAGGACTACCGCCGCCGAGAGTGGTGTGTGGTAGAGAAAAGCAACTAGAGGTGATAGCCGCGTTGCATGAAGGTCTAGCAGGGGGTCATAGGGGTGCTGATACTACGTACTATAAAGTATCTCGACTATGTCACTGGGATGGTCTGAGGGATATGGTTATGAGATATTGTAAGTCATGTGAAGCCTGTAAGAAAAGATCATCTATGAGACTGATTGAACCCCTATACCCCACTGTTCTTGTTGACCCTGGTAGTACTGTTCACCTTGATCTAATTACTATGCCACCTGGTAAGGATGGAATGAAATATATATTAAATATGAGAGATAATATGTCTGGTTATGTTGAAGCAAAAACCATCCGTAACAAAACAACAAAAATAGTGGCAGATTGGATGGAGGAAATATACCTAAGGTACCCCTTCATACGTGAGTTTGTGGCTGATCAGGGATCATAATTCAAGAACGAGATGGTCAGAAAGCTCATGTTCAGACTTGAAGTCAGAGTCAGATTTGTGACACCATATCATCCTCAGGCTAATGCATCGGTGGAAAGAGGTCACAGGACTCTAAAGGATGCTATATCAAAGTGGTGCCGAGGTGATTCCAGAAGCTGACCATCCTTCTTGAGAGCGGCTGTCTATGCTGACAATGTGACTGTCAAACGGACTACAGGTTATGCACCTGTAACACTCTGGTACGGCCGGTATGCTACTTCTCCCATTGAGAACCTGGTTGAGACCTGGACCCATGAGGCACAGAGAGAGTCTTACTCCACAGAGGAGTTACTGAGACTGAGGATCAGGCAGATCAAGGAAGTGGACGAGGCCATAATCGAGGCCACAAAGAGGATGCAGACAGCAGGTTATCTGACCAGACACGGTGGAACAGCAAGAGGTACATCAGGAAGGAACGACTTCAGGTCGGGGATATTGTACTTCTGGATGATACATCTCTCGAGACGCAGTGGACTAAGAGATTGGAGGCCAGGTGGATGGGACCTTTCAGGATCATCAGAGAGGTTGAAGGCAAGGCCTATGAGTTAGCAGAGATGGATGGTACGAGATCCCATGGTATAATATCCGGCTCCCAGCTCCGAAAATTCATACTTAGAGATGCAGATCTGATTCCGAGTTCGGGCAGAGTGATGAGGCGAGGCCCGAGAACCGTCTAGCATTAGCCTAGACATGCTGAGACGCGGCTAGTGTGCCCTTAGCGTTTGTTGGGATGTGGTGAGAGTGCCGCCAACTTCAGAGGATTATGAGCTGGGATCTGGACAGTGTTGCCGCCAGCTACAGATGATGATGATTATTGGCTGGGATGTGGCCAGTGAGCCGCCAGCTATCGATAATTATGAGCTGGGATGTGGACAGTGTTGCCGCCAGCTACAGATGATGATGATTATTGGTTGGGATGTGGCCAGTGAGCCGCCAGCTATCGATGAT